TAAAATATTTTAAACTCATTATTCCAAAATAATTTTATACAAAATATTCATATATTTATTTATGATTTTAAAAGCCCTATTTTAGGGATATATTTATGTGTCAAAATTTTGACCCAAAATTCAATCTGAGAGGAACCTGTGAATCTGGTAGGTAAATTTATATTCATTAGGTTATATTTTTATCGGAACTTAACCCAACTTTTGATACAAAATTATAGCCCGAGATTTTAACCCGTGAAATTCCCCTTCTACCCCTCCTAGTCGTTCATTTCAGCATCAAATCCCCTAGTGTTTCGTGCACCCTATAAATACAACACTAACTCAGCTTTGCCTCTTCTCCATCTTTCTCCTGAGCTTTCAAGAGACCAACCCAGCCTATAGATTTCATCTTGGCAGTAAGCTTCCTTCACTCTTTCTTCTTCCTTCTTTATTTTCCTTCTCCTAGCTCCTCTCATTGAGGATATGTGTGTATGTCTGTATTGTTTGGTTTGGAGCCTTAGAAAATGGTGGAAGAGAAGACCTACTTTGATGATAGAGATGGAATAATTCTTGAAGTTGAAAAGTTTGAGGTATAACCATGGTTGCAGTAGGTGTTAGGCGCTAGTCGGGCGCCCGGACAGCGCCTAGCGCTTAGGCGGTCTAGGCGGCGCCTAGGCGGAATCTAGGCGGCGCTAGGCGGGCGCCAAAAAAACAGTGGTAGACTTGCAGTTTGACAAATTTAATAAGGTTGTTTTCAACATTTAATCAAATAACACATCCAAATAAATGAATTAATGATAATTCATAAGTCATAACATCAAAACAATGATTTTCAAAAAAAAAAAAAACATGAAATACTCACACTTGACAATTAAAACATTAAAACAATATTAAAAATTAAAAATACTCAAACCAAATATGAAATACTCAAAAAAAACATTAAAACAATATTAATCACACTTGACGTGTTCGTGCCAAAAATATTAAACGTGATTGTTTGCAAACCATTTTCAAAGAAATAAAGCATGATTCATTTTTATCAAGTGTGATTCAAGTATGATTATTAAAATGTGTTGAGAATGATTACATGAGTGTAAGTTATTATTTGATGAGTCCATTGATGGTATGTTATGGCTTAAAGATGTCTTATGAAAGTCTATGATCATGATTTATAAATATTTCATACATTTCAAGTGTACGAGCATTCATTCAAATGTTTGGTCATTTCTACTTTAGTACTCAAATATTTCTAAATCTTTATTAAAATGTCGAAAAGTATCCATTGTTTTAAAAGCATACCCTTATATAAATTATTTCTCCCCTTTTCAAAAGTTTATAGCTATGGTATTGCATGAATACATGATTTACTATATATATATTCTATCAAATGCAACCTATATTTTCATCACCTATCCCTATCCCTATTTTCGAATACTATATCTATATCTTATTTTAAAAAATAAGCATTATGTATGGAAAGTGTTTTAGAATGACATGCTACCCCTATTTATTCACTTGTGAGGAAAAGTATATTTTTGGAGGTCCTGTTGGACCTCATGTTCCTTCGGAAGAAAAATGATGAATGTGGGTCCGGTCGAAAAATCATGGACAGTTAATGTATAAAAAAGCTTGGTCGAAAAATCTGGGCTACTAGGGCTTAAATACTACTCGCTGGGCTTGGAATCCCAGTAGGGGGTGTGCACACTAAAGGTACTGTCATGATTCCAAAGATATATATTTTGTGGGCGAGATGAGATTAGGTCGGTCGATATTTGCTGAGCCCGGATTAGGTTTATTCACGCATGGTGAAGTTCCTACCTCCCCACCATTATGATGATTCAGATGAGATTGATGATAGTTATGATCCATGAGATCATTGATACAAATGTGATTTATGAGAATGATTATGTTACCTCCAGTATTGTTATATTATTAAAGAAAATGATATTTTCTTGAGTGTGAGAGTATCTATATGAATCGATCGATATCTACTTATATTTTTAAAGGTTATCTTACCTTTATTATTCCTTTGCTTATGATTACCATTGAAATGCAATTATTATCTAACCCCTCAGTTTTACTCATGATGGAGATTTAAAGACAGTATTGCATCTATTTCTACTCTTATTGCTTTTCAAGCACTCTACCCTTATTTCATCCTCTTTAAATTGATCTTTGCATAAGTTGTGTTTTGTGAATATTTATTATTTGTCTAAGCATGAGTGTGAGTTGAGTTATATCTTTGTTATATATACTTAGATATGTAAATATGTGGCATTACCTATATCTATACTTGCGTGATCCTCTTTGATCCTATGTGTGTTGATATGTGCAAACATCAAAACTACTATTTTCCAAACCTATATCTATTTTACAGGGTTGAGTGAGTTATACTTAGCATTTTATGCTAATGAGTTACTTTTCCTTGTTTTCGTGATAACCCTTTTCAGGTTTGGTTTGATGCATGACGAGAGCACGATAGAGGCTTTATCTTGATAGTTTTCTTCTTTAGTCTGACCTTAGTTTAGTAATCTTTTGATGTTGGAAATATGTTATTATGATGTGACCCTTTTTTCTTATGTTTATAGACTTGGATAGATATCAATGAAGTTAACCCTTTTAGATTGCTTTGTGTAGTGAATGATTACGAAACTTTAGGTTAATCTTTTGTTGAGTTGTGGGTTGTTTAATGAATAGAAGTTTGGGCCTACCTAAACGTTATTGTTTAATATTCATTAAGTTGGGATCTTAGTAGTTTAGCCTGGTAGTCATTCAAGAATGGGTGGCTACGTCGGTAGCATTTCCCGTTTAGTATTTATTCCGCTGTGTAAGTTTGTAATCTATCTAGGCTCTAGTGTTAGAAAACGGGGGTGTTACAGATGCCAACAAATCACAATGTGCTTAGCAGCCACATGAAATATTTGACTATAACACCAGACATAAACCTATAACAAACAAGTATAATAGCTGACATGGGCATAAAAATTTGTGACAAATCCTTTATCGAGGATCGATAATACTTACTGTAATCTCATTTTTAGAATTATGATGAGAAGTATAAACGATGAAATTGGAACTGCCAGAAACAAATGCGGGTTCTTTAAGTTGTGGAATTGGAATTGGTGTTCCAGGGTCATTGCTCAACATTCGAACTACATCAGACATTGTTGGTCTATCTCTTGGAATTGCTTGGACGCATAGAAGTCCAACCTCGATACATCTTATCACCTTGAGAGAGTCACAAATTCCTTTATAGATATATCAATAAATTCAAGTGGTTTTCCATCTTTCCAGTTTTTCCATGCCTAATACAAACAAAAATAAAAGAAACCATATCATATATTTCTTGTCTATATCTATATATATATATATATATATATATATATATATATATCCAAATCATGAAGTTATTGAAAATTCATACCCATCCTAGGAGGGTGACAGAAAGTTGAGTCTCAAAAAAATTAGAATTCTTTTGGCCACTAACAATTTCCAATAGCAGCACTCCAAAACTGTATATATCTGACTTTTCAGAAAATTGACCATGCAATACATATTCCGGTGGAATATAACCACTAAGCAAAAAGGAAAATATATTAGTTATAGAAATATAAACAAATGATATGATCAAGTTATGAATTGAGTCAAATATTGAACTAGAGTGGTTCCAACTAAACTTACTATGTTCCAACCACATGATTTGTTTTCGCCTGAGTTTGGTCAATCCCAAAAATTCTTGCCATCCCAAAATCTGATATTTTGGGTTTCATTGCTTCATCAAGTAAAATATTGCTTGCTTTTAAGTCCCGGTGAATGACTTTCAATCTAGAGTACTTGTGAAGATAAAGAATTCCTTGAGCAACTCCCTCTATTATTTGAAAGCGTGTGTTCCAATCTAAATTTTCTTTTTCAAATGCATCTGAGAGAAATACAATGACTTCGTTAATGGAATTTTAAATTTGTGATTCAAGCTAAGGCTCCTAGCAAATAAAATCTCCAAATTTAACTAACATAAAAGATAACAAATGTACCAAATAAGAACTTGTCTAGACTTCTCTTGGGCATGTACTCATAGATCAATATTTTTTCTTCTTCCTCAATGCAGCAACCCAACAGGCGCACAAGATTTGTATGTTGTAGTTTTGCAATTAGCTTTAGCTCATTCATGAACTCCTTCAGACCTTGAGATGATTGCTTGGATAGTCTCTTGATGGCTACCATCCCAAATTCTGATAAAAATCCCTGAAGAATAATATCAACACTATAACCTTCTGTTCCAAACTAAACAAAAAAATCATGAAATGGTCACCTTATAAACAGGGCCAAAACCGCCCTCTCTAAGTTTGTTCACTTCATCGAAGTTGTTTGTAGCATCAATTATTCTTCGCAACCTGAGCTGTAACAACTCTATATCATCTTTTCCAAGAAGGGGTGCACTTGACACTGTAGGCCTTCTACAAACCCAACCTGGAAATGAACATAAGTTGAAGTGAACCAAAATGACCTTAAGCTCAATCACTTGATACTTGAGAGGAGTTAACTGCATACCTTTCCTTCCACAGTATTTCCAGGTGAGGATATATACCAAAACAGTCATAAGAAAGAATGCAGAGACTGAGACACCTATTATTGCAACAAGACGACGTTTGTTCTTGTGTGGTGAATGATCATTTCCCTGGCCTGCATTTCATAGTAGTCCTCTGATCTGAAACCCCGAAGTAGAAAGAAAAGACAAATTAAACACCCTAGCTACCTTATATTACTTACTTATTAACTCAGATTCATGAACACGAACATATAGATCTTGGCCAAACCCACCAGCTGCATAGTTATCTGCCAAATCGACCAAGTCGTCAAACCAGTTTATACAATTCACTGCAGAGTTAGAAGTGATATTTGCATACGCAAAAGCGGTGCACGAGCAGTTGTTAGAACACTCCATTTCACATTCCTGAAATGTCATATTTCCCAGAGAAGATGAATGGTCAGGCCATTTCATCCCGGGAAGCCTCATAAATGTATCAGCTTCTCCACACCCCAACGCTATGCTCCTCTCACACCCTCCATCATACTTCCCCTTATCCCAATCTCTCTGTGATCTTGGTTTAAACCCTTCCAAGCAACGGCAAACCGAGTGGTTACAGCTTCCAAATGAACCACAGTGTGCATAAAATTCACAGCCAGTGGCTGGCGCCTCCCACAGTTTCTGCCATTCATCACTTGCTTTTTGCCTCAACAGAAACTGAACACGACCTTCGGGTGTCAATACGAACCTTGATTGAATTGAGGTGTTAGTATATCCATAGCTGAAATATTCTTCGTCATTTTCTGTAGCAAATGAATAAGTTGCATACGCCGGTGCTGGAAGGTAAGTACTGTAAGTAAACCCTTCCTGATACAATTTGCTCCTATAATATGGTTTATCTTCTTTCCAAATCAAAAGCTGGGGAGATCCTTTAGGATCCATTCCCAAGGAGAATTTCCCTGGCCGGGGATCATCACTGCTACTCCAACATCTTATCACGTTCCGTTTTCCAGTTTTCTTGTTTACCTTTAGCCTCATCCCGGGCATTAACGTATCGCTGTCGCCATCGAAGCTTTCCCAAACGGTACTCTCACCCTGCTTCACAACAAGATCTCCCGTATCTTGCAGTTGGGCGGCCATGGATTCTCCGCCGCCGCCTGAGATATTCGTTGACCATATAATATTTCTTCTGCCGCCATCCAAAAGCTGCAAATTCCCATCATACCCGAGTGTGAAAACGGCTTCAGAATCTTGACGCAGCGGAGATTCTCTGTTAGCGACCCAGATCACAGTTTTGTTGATGGAATTGTACCAAATCCCGAGAAAGGAAGAAGAAGAGTTTCCGGGGCGGAAGAATCCTAACGCGAAGTTCCCGCCGGCGGAGACTAAGGTCCGGTTTCGAGTAAGCTGTTCGCCGGGTATGAGACTGTCGGCGCTCAATCCGAGATTGCAGAAAAAACCCAGAAAGGCTAAGAAAACATACGAAATGCAACAAATCCATCCCATACCAATACAATACCGCTAGCAGTTTAGCTTTTATAAGCAACAGCTAGCTATATATACATTGAATTATGGGGTTGATAGTATGGATAGTTTATGTGCTAATTGAGTTTCAGCAGAGCTTGATCTATATGATGTTTACTTTGAAATTTCTAATTGTTTATTCCAATATGGTTAACAGATTGCTTAAACTGAATCATGGGCGCAAAGGGAAAGGAATCTTCCCTTCCGAATTTCAGTTCGACCTATACCCGCAAGACTCAAGATTCTCTCCAGGAAGATGCCAAATGTCAATTTTTTTATTTGCACCCTACGCGTAGAGGGACGGCAAATTAATGTAATGGAAAATACTACATTCACTTATATTTCTTACTCGCAATTTTTAATCCCTCTCACAAATTGGCTCTGTTTGGCAAACCTAACTGAAAAGCTATAAGCTAAGAGCTGATAGCTGAAAAGGAGCTGAAAGCTGAAAAGCTATAAGTTCGGAGCTGAAAATTGAAGAGCTGTTAAGCTAGCTGTTATGATTGAAAGTGTTTGGTAAAATTAACTTTTTGATAAGCTGATAAATGTAAAAAGACTAAAAAGTACATCTTCATAAAATTTAAATTAGTTTGTTTACATATTAAAATTTAACATTTTGTCTTCCAAAAAAAGTAAACACTTTTTAAAATAAAACTATTAGCATGATCATGATCTAGCATCCCATAATGAAGTAGCAATATTGTTGCGAATCTCCTTCATCTCCATAGAGGTGTGACTTAAATTTTCGTTGATGGAGATATTACTACTTGAATCTTGAAGTTCATCAGGCAGTATGTAATCTGGATGCTGCTCAAGTACATTAAATATCATGTCATCTTGTGAATTCTCAGAATATAATTATGTAGTGCAAATGTGGCCATAATAACATCAATTTGGGTCTCCTCACTAAACTGCGACATTTTAGCAAGTATCTTCCCTCTCTTATTTTGGGAACATTACCAAACAGAGCTTATAGCTTATTAGTAGCTTAAAATAAGCTATAAGCTCCTAGCTTAGCGTTGCCAAACAGAGCCATTCTTGATGTAGACATATTACTTGGACCCACATGATAAAAATAGCGGATCTTTATTTGTCATGTCATGAAGTAAAAGTGAGGGAGTAAAATTTGGGATTACATGTAGTAGAACTCTAATGTTATGTACATTTTAATAATGTATTTTTAGTAGAGTTCTACTACATAGACTCCCAAAATTCTACACCCTTATTTGTACTTCTTGAGGTGGCAAACTAAGATTGATTATTTTCATCATGTGGGACCACAGAAAAATGTCTACGTCAAGAGCATGTGAGAGGGAGTACAAGTTGGGAGTTAAAGGTGAGAGTATACCAAGTATTTTTCTTTTCAGTATATTAAAAATTTACTTTTTATTCATGGTTTATAGAAATGTGTGGACGATGCATGGTCAAAGTAATAATGATTGTTGGTAAATTATTGTGTGGACCATGGTTCACATAGTGCTGTGTGGACTATAACAAAAAAGTACATTATTCGTGTATTCGATGTACATTACACAAAATAATGAACTTTCAGTACTCAAATAATGTATTTTTTCTGAATATAATGTACATTTTAATATACTAAAAGTACATTATTTGCATATTAAATGTATATTATTTGATAATATAGTTCACATAGTTGTGTGGACCATGATCCACACAATAATGATTGATTTAAATTTACTTCATAAAAATATAGTTACACCTCCACAGCCCCCTTAACAATAGATTGATTTAAAATGTTTTTAAAGTAGACTTGTGGATATTGTTAAGTAATACTATGGATTTTTATGAAATGTCATGCACTAGACTTAAGGTTTGTCAAAAAGTAGAGTTGTGATTTTTTCAATTAGACATTTTTGAGTTTTGCAGTAGACTTATGAATAGGTAGCAGTGTTTGATCCATTATGATATGAATAGATTAAGGATTATTTATGCTATCAATGAATGTATGATCAGTGTATATGATTTTTTTTTTTAAAGATGTAGAACCTTTGTATTGTTCTATTATCAAGAAGAAAAAAAATGAGAATTTTTGAGTGGTTAATAATATAATTTAAAGAGCAAATACCAATTTTAGTCCCACGAGTATTAGCAAAATGACGGTTTTAGTCCACATGTTTAATTCCTACCAATTTTAATCAACGACTATTGTTTTTGTACCAATTTTAATCCACGACTATTATTTTAGTACCAAAATTCATCACGTTGGTGACTCATCTATTTAAAACATCCCGAAATCTAAAAATTTTAAGGGCGTTTTTATCTTTTTCAACTTAATATTCCAATTTGAGCATAAATAAATGAATTTAAGCCCAAAGATTGATCCCAATTCGTAGTTCTCCTCCTCATCCTACATTAATTTGAGAAGGAAAACTGCGAATTGGGATAGATATTAGGGCTTAAATCCCTTTATTCATGCTCAAATATGAATCCTAATTTGAAAAGCACGAAACTACCCTTAATAATTTCATTTCCGGCATGTCTTAAACGAAGGGGTGACCGACGTGATGAATTTTGGCTCTAAAACAATAATTGTGGATGAAAATTGGTACTAAAACAATAGTCGTGGATGAAAATTGGTAGGAATTAAACATGTGGACCAAAACTGTCATTTTGCTAATACTCGTGGGACCAAAATTGGTATTTGCTCTAATTTAAATCATTTTAAACATATTTATTGACGTAGGACGGACAAAAAATGATCATCCACAATAATGTTAGGACCAATGAGGTTGTTTTGAAAAATATTACTAAAAGTGGAATGACACACATAAATATAAAATCAAAAAATAAAAATAAATTAACACTTAGAATTAAATAGACCGAAATGTCCTTTTATTTAACGTCATTTTAACGGTTTTGTGGATGGAGGACTAAAAATGATTAAACTATAATAATACTACCAAAAGCGATGTTTTTAAAAATAATAACTAAAAGTAGACTAACACAGTAACACCTATAAATCTATGAAAAAAATGGAATTAACTATTTTATTACTAAGACTATGTAGTCTAATGGTACCCGGGTTGGACTTTCATATTAGTTGTGTTTCAGTAGGTTGAGAAAGTATGTGAACAGATACTACATTGTAATAGAGTCAATAGCATTAAAAAAAAACTATTTTATTTTTTTTTATGGTAATTAACTATTTTATTTATTATTCTAATCTCTACATTTTTTACTCCATTTTTTTTAATGAAAATACTAATCAAGGAAGTATACATAACTATAATATATTAATATTTAATTTTAAGAATATATTTTTTTATATTCTATTTCTTATTTCAAATAGATTGTTGTTTTGGTTGCATCCTAGAAAACTGTTTTGATATGTTTAGTTCATTTTTTAAAAATGAATTGAATTGTATAATTAAGCATTTTAATTATTTTGTTTAGATATAACAACATTTATCATAACAATTTTCAGTATACTGAACAAATAACTAATAAAATAATATAATATCAAAATAACTAATCAAGGTATTGCAACTACAAGTAAGAAAAACCAAAATAACCAAGTGATCATCCCATCCTACGTCTTACAATCCAAAATAAGATATCAAAATAACAAACTAGCAATCTAACATGATGAAGGTCTTACAATCCAAGATAAAGTCATAAAATCCAACATAACCAACTTCAAAGTCATACACAATATTCTAACTCAAAGAAGAAATAAAGCTCTCAATCCATTTCCGATCCTCTTCAAGCTTGTACTCTTCACCTTAAAAATTCTAGCTTGAACTTCATTTGTCATTAGAAATTCAAATGTTTTACACAAGTCATCCTTATGATAGTCAGCACCTATTGTCATCAATAGTTGATACAATTCACTTTCATCAATGTCACTGGTACTCAATGACTTAATGGTTGTTGCAATGTTACGAAGTTGTTGTGTCATTTCATCCATTTCAAGTCAAGTGAATTTTTCTTTTGCCCGAATTTTTTATACGAAGTAGCAGTTGATGCAGATGTTTTTCGCTTAGTTTCTTCATCATTTGGGTCATGCAAGTTTTGAAAAGATATGTAATCCACTCTTTGGTACCTTCTAAATCAATATCTGCAAAAGATTTTGCAAACCTACCATGACACAATCTCTCCCAACAACAATATACATCTCATAATAATACTCAATTTTTCTGTTCAATAAAGTTTCAAACTTGATAGTTGCTGAATTAAAAAAAAATACATTAAAATTATGCAATAGTGAAAAAATAAAATTTAACACTAGTAATAGCATAAATGGAACCGAGATAGAGGTCTCATCGCTGAGAAGCGGGATAGATGTGGCACTCGACCGAGCAAGATCGTACAGGTAGGGCCGCGATAACTCAACAAGACAAAACCTCAAACAGACCGGCCGTGAGTTTTTTTTTTGTTTTTTTTTTTTTTAGATGACTAGCAAGAGGTCTCATTGCTGAGAAGCGGGATAGATGTGACACTCGACTGGGAAAGACCGTGCAGGTAGGGCCAAGATAATTTCAACCGGACAAAACCTCACACGGACATGCCAAGGTTTTTTTTTTTTTTTTTTTTTTTTTTTTTTTTTTTTTTGACCAGCAAGCGGTCTGATCGTTGAGAAGCGGGATAGATATGTTCATCGCTGTGAAGTGGGATAGATGCAATACTGGATTGGACAAGATCGTGCAGGTAGAGCTGGGATAACTCAACCGGACAAAACCTCAAACGGACCGACTGAGAGTTTTTTATTTTTTTAATTTTTTTTTTGTGCCATCAACCGGGCTAAACTGTAACACCCTTTTTTTCTAAACATTAGAGCCTAGATTTAAGCAGTCTAAAAAGACAAAAGCAAAGGAAATAAAGATAACCTAGGATATGTATATAAATCCCAAATCATAATACTAAAGAGAGTGTCACTGCCACAGTTACCCACCCTCGAGTAACTGCACAGGCTAAGTCTACAACCAAAAGAGAGTCTCAGCTCAAAACATCAATAACAAGGGGTATACAAACCCCGGTGTCTACGCACCAACCAAAACATGTAGTCTAGCTACATCAGTATCTACTTCAAATCACCAAAAGATAAGGAGGAATGACTAAGGCTAGCATCTACTAAACCCTAGAGCTACACACTACTACTATCAATGCGCGCTCTCATCAAGCATCAAGTCCACCTGAAAGGGGTTATAAAAACACATAGGAAAATAAACTCGTTAGCATAAAAATGCTAAGTATAATGCCACTCAACCCTGTAACATAACTATAGATATAGATTTTTGGAAAACGGTTCATATTCAAGTACAACGGGTATACACATAGGCAATAAGGCAAACCAACGATAAACCCTAAGTAAGGATACTATATATATAAGCAGGTATACTCATCAACATATGCAGTATCAACATACTTCCAAGATAGATAATACGCAAGAGATTCAAGTATCAAGTAAGAACATGTTATCATACTAGTACTCTCAAAAAATATAACATACTTTACTTCTCATATATGATGAATGTCTAAAACTAATGCTTTTTCCTTGCACATTTTAGTATTTTTACTTGTTAATCATTATATTATTGAGCCAATTTGGTAACTTATGGAATGATTGTTTGTGCTTAGGTGACTTGACAAGAAAATGATGTTTTGAGCCAAACATTGAGTTATTTGAACAAGATTTCAAGTCATCATAGCATGAGGATATTTTTGTGAGGAAAAATGAAGAAAAGAAGATTGAACAACACTCTTTCATGTTTCAAATATTTGTGCCTTAGTGGTCTTGATGATATAGGCAATTCAATGCAAAGGCAAAGCAAAAGATAGTAAGGTGGCATTTCTCTCCCAGATTGGCGCTGTCTCCGTATTTTGACTATATCTCGGTCTAGGAGTGTCCAAATCAAGTGATTTTTATATCATTGGAAAGCTAACTTCAAGGGATACAACTTTGATGAAGACAATAAATGCTAATTCAAAGGTTTTGGGAGTGAAAAATAGCCTAGAAGTCAGAGCAGGTGCACAGATTTCGTCCGTGGCAACCAGGCAGTATACACTGCCTGGTGGCCACGGGTGTGGCCACTGGGCAGTATACACTGCATTTCTGACCACGGGTGAAGCCACACCTGTGGCCAGCCTCTGCAACCCAAACCAGACCCATTTTTGCCCTTTAAAAGAGGATTTTTTCACCCCAAAAACACACTTTTCATTCCCCTTTCATTTCTCTAGTTAGGGTTAGTTTAGAATAGCTTAGATTAGTGTAGATTTGTGTTTCCTTTCCATTTCCAAGCTCAAGAACATTGCAAATCTTGGATTTCAAGACTTCAATAGAGAAGTTTTCTTATTCATCTCTTCTCTTTACTTTTCATCTATGCTTTCAATTTCTCTTTTAATATTGTGTATCTATTGTTATATTATGAGTAGCTAAGTGTTTTGGGACTAGGATTTGGTTTGATTTATTGCTATTGATGCCTATTTGAGTTGTATTACATAAAGGGGATTATTTGGGTGATCTAGGGTTGTTGTGTGAAATGGGTTTGTTGAGAAATTTGTGTATGATTGTTGGATCTCAATTATATGCTTGATTTGAAGTGTGTTTGTTGCTACGAGAGTAGAGCTTGTACACTAGCCACACATTCACACACTTAATACCCAATACGAGAGTATTTTGGGTGTTAAGGGGAATCTTTGCCTTGTGTTCTTGTTTGGGCATCCTTGGGTTGAATTGTCACGAGAGTGGAGTTCAATATGAAGTTGCAAGTCCAAATAGCTACGAGAGTGGTAGACACTTTTGTGCATCTCACTTACCCTATGCCTTGATTTAATTCCCTAATCCTTAGTACAATATTTGGCATCTTAGCTTGAATCAATCAAATCCCGGTCCTTTGTTTTACTTGTTCTATTTGTTATTAGCTTGTTCGTATCAAACCATCTCCTTATCGATAGGTCTAGCTTCTAAAAGAATTGTTCTAGCTTGTGCTTAACTCCACTTTGCATCAATTCCTAACATTACAAGAGTCATCTCCAGTGGAACGATATCTAAACTCTATACTGTGATTTGATACTTGATGGATGCGTGAAAATCGTCCTCATCAATATACTCATCACAAGGCATATACTAAGCAACACTGGAAATCCATTCAATAGATCCAATAGTATATATAACTATATAAATATATATATATATATATATATATATATATATATATATATATATATATACTCATACTCTCATTAATAATAATAATAATACTTTTCTGCGGAGGACCTCTATCATATCTCATGATTCTCTTTTCTCTTCTTTCTTTCAAATCTGGGTCTGTGAGGCACGTACTCCGCCGCAGCGAAGTCCTAGCGAACGGTGCTTCCCACACAACCGCCACATCCGTACCTACGGAACCTCAAACTCGTGGGGAGGTAGAAACTTCACGAATCATGAACAGACCTATCCGGGCTAGCAAACATGGGTCGCCCTAATACTCATCTTGCCCACAGAATCGATACTCGTAGTTCTAAATCTCTGTGGAATCAGGTATCGTACTTTCAGTGTGCACACCCCCTTAATGGGATTCGAAGCCCAGCGGGTAGTATCGAACGTAGCAACTCGGGATTTTTCTACCAAGTTACTTCTAAAAGCGGTCATCTCTGACCGTACCATCCGAAAGGACATAGTCCAACCAGGAGCCTCCAAAATAATGGTTTTCCTCACTTCATATAGATAGCATATATATATCTCATATAACTTCTCTTTTCATGATGACAATCTAGATGATATGCAAGCCTTTCAAAATAATATAAATATAGGTTTTTTGAAATACATATACGGATTTTGCAAATAACCTAAGTCAATAATATAGACCATCTAAAGTATGCAAAAGCTTTTAATGTGAAAACATATGTTTTATGTACCAAAGTTTATGAAATAGCCAATCATGCAAATGAAACCATATATTCATGCTAATCTCAATACTCATGAACTAGATGATGCAACTAGAGCATTTAATCAACTCATCTCATAACTCAAGTCCAAAACATGGTACTGAACTTTCATGCTCAACGACACTTAATAAACACTTAGGAAAAATCATTAATCATGCTTGGTTTAAAAAAGTGTATTTTATTCACAAATCACATAGGCACATTTCATACTAACGTGTCGTTACGAGCCCGAGTCTCCGAGCCTCACGGGCCCACGATTCTCGGTCCGAAACAACAAAGTGGGTCGAGCCTCAAGGGCCTAGCCCTCTCAAGAATGACTTGGCCGGGCTAGTTGGCGGAGCCTGAGGAGCCCCGCCAAGTCACGGCCCTGAGTGGCGGATCCCCTCGTGGTCCGCCACTCGGGTCCGCAGGGTGACGGGGCTTACTGAGGGATCCCTCTGGGGTCCGTTGGTAAGCTCCACACGGCCGAAAAAAATAAAGAGGCAGTGAGCTCGGGAAATTTGCATTAGATGAACAAAATCCCACTTCTAGTTTCCAAAACACCTCCAACACTTCCCCAAACAATTATGAACAACAAGATATCAACACAAGCTTATAATAAACACATAAAACTGCATTCTTCAACATTTCTAAGCATCAAAACACCAACAACACATCTATATCATCAATAACAACACAATATCAAAATAATAGGTTTTGGGAGGCCATGGTTTATACCTTGAGCTTGCTAAACCCTAGTAGGAATCCCTCATCTTCTTCAACCAAGGTTTCCACCTTGACCTCCTATTTTCTCAACAAGAACAGTACACATAGAAAATACATCACACATACATACAGAAACATATACTATATTCTAAAAGGGATGTGCTAAAAGGAAATGGAAGAGGAGAATACTTGAAGAAAAGATGATGGAAAATGAAATGAAGGATAAAAAATAGATATTTGCTTACAAAGTTTCTTCTTCTTCTTCTTCTTAGAAATCTCCTAAAGCTTGGAGAGATAAGAGACAAATAGGAGGGATTGAGTTCAAGGCAATGGAATAGTGAAGGTTATATAGGTAGGGCTCAAAACCCTAGACAAGGGAGCTGAATTTTTCGGCCAATGGGGGGTTGGTTAAAAGGGTCATTTCGCGATTAAAAATCTTGGGCTATAATTTTGATTCAAAAGTTGGGTCAAGTTAGGATAAAAATAGATTTCTAAATTACTAGGAACAAAATGGGTTCATTCACAAGAATATTCTTAGGCCAAAACATTTGAATCAGTCTCACAGGTTCCACTCAGATTGACTTTTTGGGTCAAAACTTGGTACATATATATACTCAATAGATAGGAGTTTTTAAAATATATTAATATTTGGTGTTGAACTATTTGAAATAGAGGATTTAAAAATATTTAATTTATACACTCATTTGAAAGATTATCGTAGGAGTAAAAATAATTTATTTGGGATTCTTATAAAATAAAATTTGAGAAAATATATTTTGGGTTGTCACATAAACCATTACAGGTAGGACAGGGAATGCTCGAGAGGTCAAAGCCTTCACAAGTAGATTTGAGAGTAGTCACTCGTTTAAAATCAATTTCAATGTCGACGGACGAACATGATCAAACTGTCGGCCGCACAAATTTTCTACAAGTAGTCGATCGGCTGACTACTTGTAACACCTCGTATTACGGCCTTCAATCCCGGATTAATTATTTAATTAATTTCGTTAATAATAATTAAAAAGGATTTAATTTGGTTAGGATTCCCTTTAATTAATTAATGTGGTCCATCATGGATTGTGGACCCTTGCCTAAACTAGAGTCTTAAGCCTATTAGGAATAAAGAGAGTAAACCCTTTACTAGTCAGATTCAAATTAGGAATCCTAGGCCTATATAGGCCTTTACTACTCAGATTCTAATTAGGGATCCTAGGGCTATAGACCTATTAGGAATATAATGTAGGTCTTTACTATTCAGACTCTGATTAGGATTCCTAACTCTATAAAGCAATTAGAACCCTTACCACCCATAGTTATATTACACAAAATTATTCCCAGGAGATTCCCCTACCATCAAGCCTAGGGAGATCAAATAGATGGAAATCTTAGAGAAGAACCTTAATAGCCAAGGGAGGATTAATTAAGGCTAAGAAGTAACTCATGTCTCAACAAAATCTATTTTCCTTGCTATAAACTTCTTCTTTGGCTCCTTAGATATGCAATTCTATGCTTGTGTCTTGATAAGGCTTTTGTGATGGTTATGAGATGATCTTGATGTTGATGAGATGATCTTGATGTTTATGTGATCTCTATAATCTTGATGTTTATGAGGTGATCTTGATATTTATGTGTTGATATTGAAAATCTTGATGTTCTTGATTTTAATATAAACTAGAACCCTAGGATTAAATCGTAGACTTCGTATCGTGATATTCCTGGTATATTTGGGCGGGATTTTGCATGTTTGGGTATTGAGTATTGATTATGTTTAGAAGTCGTGTTAGGATGTATTTAATGTGATTCTTGATTTTAATCCATTCCTTGATTACGTGGTGTCGTCGTTGGTGTTTAAATGTGTCTGGACATGGTTTCGGGTTCCAAGAAAGATCCCGGGACCGAATTATTACATAAGAGTCAGTGGGGGCAGGGGTACCCGCCACCTACCCGCTGCCCCAATAGGCCGCCCGGCAGCGGGCAGGCGACTGCCCGCCGGGCACCCGCTGCCTTGTGTTGCGCCGCCGGCAAGCAGCTGGCGGGTGGTGACCCGCTGGAAATTCCAATGTGGAATATGGTGGTTTTCCCCGTTTGATGTTTCCCCGTGTTCCGTGGTGTCCCATTGTACCCCGTTTGTCGTGCCTGAGTCTAGTTTGATGTTTCTGGTACCGTTCGTAGGATAAAAGAGTCTTGTGTATTGCATGCTAGTCGAATTGGTATCCCGTTGGCCTAGGTGAAAGATGTATGAACCCCTTAGGCATATCTCTAGTAATGTGGTGGACCACGCATAAGTTATATATATATGTTTTCCCCCTCCCTATGTGTTAATGTGGGTTGCATGTGCTTGGCTATGTGTTATGTGTGCATGATACCCCAATTGGTTGCGATCAATTGGCTATATAGGCAGTTGGATGGGTTGAGAACCATCGGCTGTTAACCAGGCCGGTTGCGATCGGTCAGGTATATATATATATATATATATATATATATATATATATATATATATAGGGCTGCGGTCCATAATCTGGTTGTGATCAGATATACACATACTATTCAGGCTGCAGTCCACCGTTTGGTTGCGATCAAATGTTACTATATGAGCTGCGGTTCATCGATTGGTTGCGATCAATCCCCTTGTGCTACGGTACAAGGCAGGGTGCTTCGGGGCCGTGTCAGAGCTATATGCGTTGACCCTCATGTATGGGCATGCGATTGGTCCTGCAGCACCACCAAAGTGTGTTTACGTGTTGAGATAATGATTGAATACTGATATAGTCGATGTGAAATAATCTGGTGACCTTAGGGTATATGCTAGTATCTTGATATGCGTGATTATATCTGCTGAATGTGCCTACCCTTACTTGCTGAGTCTATTTTCGGCTTCAAAATGGTTTTCCTTATATATATATATATATATATATATATATATATATATATATATATATATATATATATATATATATATATATATATACCTATATTGTATTTTAATGCGTTAGAGTGGGTTACCAGCATTATTCGCTGAACAGATATATTTCGCTTTCAGGCACAGATGAGTAGCTCCGGAGCGCGCTAGTTGGACCCGAGGCTTAGCTAGTTTAGTTCCTTATCGGCCTGCGTGCCATGATGATGTCCTTGACATTGATTTGAGGATTTATGATGTTTAGATAGTTTAGCCTGTGCATCTGAGTTCTCCAGCTCATATGTGGCATAGCACCCCAACAATTATGTTTAGTTATGCTCTGTTTTGGGATTTAATGATAGTGTTACACTACTCTTCTGGTGTTATTTCCCTCTGCTCCATTGTTCTTCGAGACTTCAATCGTGAGTGGCTTCGGCTGTCCTGGGGGCCAGCCGAGACTTGACACTTTTTCGAATTCATTCAAAAACACTTTCTCGTTGAGTGACGTCAGGTTGTTGGTGGCCTCTACATCCTTCCTGATTCCGTCTTCGTGATCGGTCTACCACTCTTATTTTCTCCAGGTACTCGATCGTTCTGCCGACCTACTCGGTCAATCTGCCGCTTTTATTTCCCCCAAGATGTGATTTTGGGGTTGTGGGGGTTGCTGTTGGACATGATGTGTTGCTAGTTGCTACTGCTCCTCAATTGGGATTTGAGGAGTGGATGCTACAAAGTAGTACCCGGGGGTCCCTAACCATGGTTAATATGTCTGGGCAAATCCTTGCGGTGGAAACTACACATCTTATTGTGGAACCCCTTGTTATATTGCATTGTTGTCCCCACTGACCTGCATGGTGTTGAGGATAACATGGTATATGCCATAGATACTTGGATGTTTGGACTAGGTATGCCTCTCCGAGGTGCCGAGACAGTTAGATGGACTATAGTATGACCAACTGGTTGGTCAGCATGTCTGGTAGGTCGCATCGTTCGCCCTGCGTGGTTGGAGGTGAGCTCGATCATCAGGCCTCTTGATCGGTCTAACTACCGACATATATCATCTTCGGGGAGCGTTTCAGTCACATTGTCGGGGTGATGTCCCTCCTGGCGGGTTGAGCCTTCCCTCTACACGTATTTACCCATCAATTAGAATTATGTTAATAAAATACTACCGAGTTAAGCTCCATAAGCCACTGAATCGCACGTAATCATTTTCAAGTGTTCATCCCAACCAACACCATTCAAATCTCTCAGTTTGCCTATCATCATCCACGTGTTCTTCATTGTTTTCAAATGATTCTCTACATGTTTGGATTCACATGCAACATTGAGTTGTTCAGAAATAGTAGAAGTAATACGGTTGAACGAGGAAGATATAAAATTGTTAGTTGGATTGTTGGGATTTTTAGCCTCTTTAGCTAATATTATCTGTAGAAATACGCTCTCAATTGGTTTTGTCTATCTAAATTGCTTAGGTGTGCCAATTCCCTTGTCTTTAGCCATGTTGCTATAATAAAATACAAATAATATTGCAATTAAAGTATATACCATATTTAATAATAAAACCAATTATCAACCATCAAAGTCAAAGCAATATTTAACAACTAATAACATCCAACAAAGTACAAGAAACTAGATACTAAAGTCATTCCACATTTGTTCTGCAAGCAATCTCATCCCTCTTTGCATTTCACTGCCTAGCCTCTTATCTTTCTTTACTTTGGGTATGAGATAAGGTCAACAAGCTACCATCATCATCATCATCATCAACATCAACTAATGCTTGATTATTTTCATCATTACGATCGGCGCCCATAATATGGTTATGAATTATGCAACAAGCTAAAACTATATCCACGTGTGTCTGAAAATCCCAAAATGGTTTTGCATCTAATACACAGAATTGTTTCTTCAAAATTCAGAACACTCTCTCAATAATTGTTCATAAGGACGAATGATGAAGATTAAAAAGTTTTTCATATTCTCAGGACGATGAACACTAAATGCCTTCAAATGATATCTAACACCAGGGTATGGAGTAAGTATTCCATTTCGGATGTCATATCCAGTATCACCAAGGTAATATTTTCCACAACTTGATTACTTATATAGTAATTACTATACAATATATTGTAACACAATGAAAAAAGTGATAATTGTATTATTTATACCTTTTGGAATTTTAAACCTATTTTTGATGGACAAGGAGGGGGGTATCCCGAAAAAAGAGAGAGCTAACTGCTACTTCTTCTAGGCCAGCTCGCTCGGAGATGGTCATGATCAACAAGATCTTCCAAGATGGGAGGGCACCGCTCAAGTTTGCGCCAGTGCACATTTAGATTTGCACCCATATTGGCAAGGGCATCGACACAAACATTCTGCTCACGATAGATATTCCGGATGGAGGCTTTCCAGTTTTTGTTCATCCAATTTTAAATCTATTTGGGCGTGTGAGTGCATCATTCAAGACTCGAGAATAGTGTGCACTACTTTCACACCCAGCAAGCACATGATAAAATCTCAAATCAAAAGTGACGGCAGCAAACACATTTTGTGTTGTTCTACATTTCCGTCCATGAAATCTTCCGTGCATATCAAGTGGCACAAATGCACACATATGGATTCCATCTATTATTGCTCTTAGACAATCTTTAAAATATGGATAAAATCAT